TGTTGGTGGTTTGTAAATTATGGCAATTGTTTTGCCGTTACAAATGGCGGTGTGGTGTGGCGGTGGTCATGGTGGCGTTGTAGTAGTGGTGGCGGTTGTAGTGAGGTGGTGCAACGATCAGTTGGTGGTGGTAAGATAGTATTACAGTTAGTAGTGGTGGCGTACGTTCAGTTAGTGCCAATGGTAGTGGATTGGGTTTGGGTGAAGAGCATTTGTGACCAATCATTTAGATGATTGTAACCAAAAAAGAGTTAATTTGTGAGCAATAAATAATATGTGGCCGTTGAAATTGATAATTTATGACCAATAAATAATATGTTACCTAAAAAATATGTGATTGGGATTAGACTTAATTGTAACTCATATTTTTTGTCTTTGTGACTGTGATTTTATGCGATTTGTGATTGTGACCATAATTGTGTGATATTTGTTATCGAGAAAATAATGGGTCATCAATTAATTTGATAATTTATGACATACGACTTTGTGATTTGTGACGTTTTATAATTGTGACTAATAAGTAACTGTTATCATAAATTGTATAACATTGTGATCTTAGTACATTTAATTAATAAAATATTTTTAGTCATCTATTTAAAACAAGTTTCTTAATTTTGAAATTGTATCTTTTAACTATCTTAAATTTGTATTGTTTCCACGATTTATTTTTATTTTTTTCTGTAGAGCCCAATTAAAAAGGATGCATATTCAACTATAACCCAATGTTCGTAGAGCAGAGGGAGACAAGCAACTAATTAAGGACCTATTTCGGAGTTTTTCTCATCATTTTCATCTTTTTGGGTGGCAACATTTATTAAAGGTTGAAAATTTTGTTACTTTTTTTTTATTATTATTATTATTATTATTATTATTATTATTATTATTATTATTATTATTATTATGCACTAATTTGAGTGGTTTAAAAACCACCCCAAAATCAAGTAATGTAATTCTAGTTGTATTTCTTAGCCCACAAAATTGGTGAATTTTGACCTTTTCATAATTTCTCTTCTTATTTTACACACTATAAAATAATTATTCTCAGTTAACGTATACTTTCCAAAACTCACTTGCAAATGAAAATCAATAACTAAAAAAGTATTTATAACCACAAAAATAACTTTATAACTCAAAAATTACTTAAAGATAAAATTTCACTTTTGTATATAAAAAATTGCTTTAATGTAAAAATTATTACTAATAAAATAATAATTCACTTATAATATATTAGAAAATTTACTTATAAGTAAAAAAAATATATTTGTGTAAAAATTATTTAAAAGTAAAATATTAAAAAAAATATTTGTGTAAAATACTAATTAATAAAAAATTTCATACAATAAATTACAATTTAAATATTTCACTAAAAGAAATATAAATTTTTTATTCGTTTGAAAAACTTTCCCGATTATAAATAAGTTTCACAATTATTATTCGTTTAATTCAATTTTTATTTGTTTAATAGGCTACCACATCTCTGATGATTTATCATCATCATGATAAATAGCATTATTCTTATTAA